CCCCCTACCGCCAACCCCTCTTGCCTCACCAACCAAGTCCGGGCAGTCCCAGCGGTAGCAGACAGAGAGGGGATCGCCACAGCAGGGGAGAGCAATCGACGACGGGGAACTCAAGCGGCAGCGCCGGAGGACTGGGGGGAAGCTCACTCTGCAGCAGGCCGAGAGGGGGTCGGCGCAGCAGTGGAGAGCGCTCGACACCGGGGAACTCACGGCGGCGCCGCCGGAAGACTGGGGAGAGCCCGCTCTGCAGCAGGTCAAGAGGGGATCTGCGCAACAGCGGAGAGCACACCGGGGGAACTCACGACAGCGGCGCCGGAGGACCGGAGGAACTCACGGCTGCGGCGCCGGAGGACTGGGGGAACTCACGGCTATGGCGCCGGAGGACTGGGGGAACTCACGGCGGCGGCGCCGAAGGACTAGCTAACCTAACTCTGCCCTTTCTATGTTAGCCGGAGGACTGGGGGAACTCACGGCGGCGGCGCCGGAGGACTAGCTAACCTAACTCTAAGTAACTGGTAGCGTTGAATTTCTCTGAAGAACAATTCAAGTGGTCAAGATATTCTGTTTTCGCGCATCCACGGTATTCTCTTGCTCGCCATTGTTAATCATTAAATGTATATATATGCTTCGGTAGCCTGTCTGAAACCTTTGACCGTGATATGCAGAATTTTCAGGTCATTTCCACAGCAACTGTTCATCAGCAAATGTTCAGAATAGGCAAAGCTCTGTTTCTCCAAGAGAGAGAGAGAGAGAGAGAGAGAGAGAGAGAGAGAGAGAGAATTTGTGCTTCTTTCTGGGCACGGTGCCGATCTGGAAAATGATACAGTACTGTGGAGTACTACTGCTGATACTGAAAGCTCCGTGCATCCGTCTGGAACACGACAGACAGAATAAATACGCCACGTCGTGGGCAAGGACGACGGCGGCAGGGGCTGCCGGCCGAATGAGAGCAACAGCGCCTGATCGACGCGGCAGGCATGGAGTTTTGCTGGTCGCCGTGGTACTGCAGCGCGGTGGTCCGTCGGCTCCACTGAATCACTCCACAAGCATCGCTCCACAATGCACTGAGCTGTTCTGGGACTGGCTGACCGATTGAATGATTCTTGTGACCTGTTCCTATCTCAACATGTGCCATGGTTACTGTCGAGGCGGCGGCGTGCCGTGGCCTGTGGATGCTGAATGCAATGAGATGCGTCAGCCCACACGTCATCTTGCTGGGAGGCTTCTGCCTGATAGATTGAGAACCAGCTGAGCCTCTGCGCACGTTGCAGCAGACACACGAGCATGCGTGGAACGATGGTTGCAGCTTGCGGGCGCATTGCATAATGAGAAAACTTCAGTGACTGTCTGGACATGCAGGGGCGGAGCCAGGATTTGGGTATAAGGGGGGCCAAACAAAATAGAAAAAAAAGTCCAGTGCAAAAGATAATTACAGAGAGCAAGGTTGATAACTTGCACAACAGCCTCCTTAACAATTTTAGTAAGTTGAGAATTCGAAGCAGCCAGCTTAGAAAATAATTGATCTTAAAGGTGTTTGGCAGCAGGTTATTTTCTCTTCATAGTTGAGGAATTTCAATTTCAGAAGGAACCAGCTTGGAAACCAAATTAATTTTAATGGTGTTTGGCAGGGCTTTTTCTCTTCATAATTGAGCAATTTCAGTTTCATAATTAGCTATACTGTATACGGTTGACATAGAAATTTTTCGCATCACAAATAGGAACCGATACAAGATAATTTGGATCACGATAATTTGTGGGATACTTACACAATATGAATTCTTGATAGCATCTCAAATCTAAAAGAAACTAAAATCTATGTATAGTTTCAAATTTCAACACTGATACGAGATGAGAGTTGAGAGAGATTAGTAGTGTGATATGTTAACCTGCTAATTCGTCGTATGAATCAGATAGTGAGTAGTAGGGCAAGGAGATCAGAGGTAGACGGTGGCAAGGGCACACGGGGGCTGCAGCCGCGGCCGCGTCTAATCCCATCAACTACACACCAATCACGCATGAAAGAGGCATCTCAGGAGATTAGTTTTTTTAAGCAGTATCTCAGGAGATTAGATCGGAGGCTACATTGCCCATATGGCCGCTAGTGGGCTCTTTCACTATGGGCTTTTTCCTCCTTTACCTAAATACACGTACAGAACCTGAGATAGGGGGGCCAAGTATGCTTGTACGTGCGATCGTATCGCTGATTGCCTATGCATCTTTCACGCATTGCTCGATTGTTAGGGGGGGCCAGGCCCCTGCTCGCCCCCCTTGCCTCCGCCACTGTGGACATGCTTTTCCGCTCTGTGCAGAGACGTCATGAGAACTGTAGGAACCTAGGATAACGATGAGACAACACTGGACGATAATTGGTGCCGAGTTGAAAAGATACACTTCGTGCATTTTCAACCCTAAACCGGACATCGTATCTCTCCGCAAGAGCGAAGAGGACTAGTCTATGAACGCTGCCATGAGAGCTGGCCATCCGACCCTATCCGCATACATTTCAAAGTATGGTTAAAAAAACGAAATTCATCCAGCCACCTCAGGCCACGCCGACGAGCCCAGTGGTTGAGGGCATGGACCTCTTGAGCGGCGGCGGTGCCTCCGCCGGCAACTGCGCCTCCTCTTCACCGGCACCGGCGCCAGCCTTCGCAAGAAGGCGGGGCATGGCAAGGTGCCAGCTCTGGCACCACCGTCGTCGTCCTGGGCTCCGCCAGCACATCCTACAGCTGCCTCGTCTCCCTTGACTCGGCTTGGTCCACTACGCTGCCTCCCTCCTCGTCGTCCCAGACGTCGACCCCGGCGGTCGACGCCCACGCAACAAAGCAGAACAGATCAAGGAAGAAGGCAATTGAGCTTGTCGTGAAGGACATTCTGGAGATCGTCGCGCTTCTAGTTGATGTGGCCATTGTGATGATGTTCGTCATGGCTGGCATCTTTGAGATGCTTGCTCTGGCGGCCGAAGCCATGGGACGTCATCAGGCGGCCGCGCCGCCTGGTGTATGGGCCTGGTGGTGGCTTTGCGTCAATTGTTTCAAAAGGCTGACGGATTTTGTTTGTTTGTTAGTGATAGCTCAATGAATAAGAGCACAGCAACACCGGCGGAGCTACATGCAAACCTGAGGGGGCGGTGCCCTCCCCGCCATAGGAAATTTACTGAAGAAACTTTTTTAGGGGGAGTTGAGTGACAGGTGCCATTTGTCTAGGTTTGCTTCTTTTTTTCCACTCTGTGCAACATGTGTTTTGAGCATGCTTCGGTTTAGGTGTTTCTTACTCCCTCCGGATTCCCAATTGTCTTACTTACGGGATGATGAACCTCCAGATTTTTTATTACCACATGTACTCAATGATGTAACTCTTTCATCCTTGGAATAAAATGCCAACAGGTTTTCCCTAAAAAACAGCAAAAAAAGGCCAGCGGAATCAAACGCCCAGGCTAGCGGAAAGAAAATCAACAGGGGAATCGGATCCATCGCTACATCCATGCTACTACCACTGTAACTGCAAAAAAGTCGCCAGGAAAATCCTAAGTCAAACTTTTTTTAGGTCTGACCAGACATTTAAAACATCAAATTAGTTTCATTAGATTCATAATAAAGTACGTATTTTTATACTTCCTCTGTAAATAAATATAAGGCGTTTTAGATCACTAATATTCACGGTTGTGAATACTTGTAAGTATTTTTTTATAAACTTGGTCAATATTAAGATAAACAAGTTGAAATTGTTCCCAAAGTTCATCACAAGTGAATGAGGCTATTTAGTGTGTGTATTTACCATGTCGGCAAATTTATGCCATGCATATTTAGTCTCCAGCCCAACACTATGTGGCAATGATCATGAGGAGCGTATATACACCCTATAGAAATGAAATTGGTTTCTTAACACCACCACAATTGCATTAAGGGGATGACCGCGGCACGGGCTCATCTCTAGCCGCCGCCGCCTCCTTAAAAAAAAAGCTAGGGTTTTTGCTTCCCGCCGGTGTTGCTGTAGATCCGCCTCTTCTCCGGTGGCCTTAGGGCCATGGGGGCATGGTGGATCTCGGCAAGGGCCGGCAGGAGGGCTCCGTTTTTAGTAGTTTCTTTCAGTTTTGTTAGGGTTTGTGTCCTGCTCAGGAAGACGAGATGACGACGACTCCCTGAAGATGGAACAAAGGTCTTCCCGCCTAGGCCCCGTTCTGGTGGTGTCTCTAGCGTTGTTGGTGGGTGTGTCTCTGGCGGATCTATCATTGGTGGATTTGCTCGGATCTCATCGTTATGTCTACGTTCGTGTGTCTTCGGGCTGTATCCTTCTGATCTATGTTATTCTTCATCTGTGGCGGTTGCTGTTCTGGTGCATTGGTCCTACGAGGCCTTACACGACGACTTTCCGACGGTCTACTGCAACAAGTTGTGCCTGACTCCGGCGATGGAGGGGCGATGGCGACGGTGCGCCTTCTGCTTGCTTCAGTGCTTGTAGTTGTCGTTAGATAGTCTACTGATATGGATGTAATTTTTATTATTTTTAGTATTCGATGTACTGCCATGATTGAAAATGAATAGATCGAAAGATTTAAAAAAAAATTGCATTAAGGGAGGATTTTGGCGTTTGGTTCGTTTCTGCAGTAGAAATTACAGTTGGGACGGATTGGTGCAGCTTCGTCGCAAAAGCAACGGAGTCAACGCCTCTGGATGACCACTCACCTCTTCCCGCAAAAGAAAATGTCCAAGCAAAGCAGTCTCCCTCCTCCTCCCCTGTCCCGCGCCGTGTAGGTCCGGCCACACAGCCAAATCGTCGGCGCCGGAGTGGCGCCGGCGAGACGAGCCCTCCCAGGCAATTCGTAAAATAATCCATGGTCTTTTACTAACCAGCAACCACACCACCACGATATAGGGTTAATCTGGAGCCTAATCACCCGGCCACCAACCCCCACTCCCACCCCAGCATCTTCTCTCCTCGCCTCGCCGTCGACGACCCCCACCCAGCCGTCGTAGCCACCCGCTGCAACTCCGCAAGCCATGGAGAAGCCGTCGCACGTAGCCACCGCCGACGGGAAGCAGGCATCGCACAGGTACCTTCGCTGGTGAATCTTACTGGTTTCTGATTGCATCCTGAGTTGACCTTTGAATACTGAGTAGTACTTAGAATATATATCTAGCGTCTTCTCAGATTGGGTGGCACTCTTCTGCACTCTAGGTTGCTCATTCTAGTATGCTTAGTGCTGGACCTGTTCTTGGGCAGCCCGGCCCGAAACCCCGGCATCCGGGCCAAGCTCGGGCTCAACTTTTCCACCCGAAGCCCGGCCTGAAAGCCCGGAAAAGCCTGAAATGATCATCAATATATATTCATTCAAAAAATAGGTATAATGCATTTTTGTTGTTCATAAATCAGGTTCTACCCATTCCTCCTAGTAGTCAGTTTCTGCTACTACTAGTGTTTGCCGGATCATCCAATCCAAGAATAAAAGTAAAAATGGGCAGGGATGCTGATATTCTGCCTGCTTTTCATCAGGATTGCGGTGGTCACTGGTGGAAACAAGGGAGTCGGCCTGGAGGTGTGCCGGCAGCTTGCCGCCCAAGGTGTGACTGTCATTCTCACAGCGAGGGACGAGAAGAGAGGGAAGGATGCCGTCGAGTCGATCTGCCGTGAATCCAACCTCTCCAACGTTGTCTTCCACCAGCTCGACGTCCGGGATGACAGCAGTGTCGCCTCTCTAGCGCGACACATCGAGAGCAGATATGGAGAGCTTGACATCTTGGTAAAATGAAGTCGCTTTTGTTAGATCGTCACTTATGCATCTTTTCCGGGAACATGTTATGTGAATGAGGATGAGTTGGGTAACATCATATACAGGTTAACAATGCAGCAGTTGTAGGAGTTGCAGCAGATGAGGAAGGCCTCAAAGCTCTGAACCTTGATGCAGAGACATGGGTACTGATTTCCTCTGAATCTTTTTTTGAAAATAGTTTATCACGCTTGCCACACGATAATTTTCTTTTGATCTGAACCTTTTGCAACTTAGCAATTTCATCTGTAACTTGGATACTTAGTACCGCGACCAATGTTCAGTGTTCAGTTTTAAATTCGTGTTTATGATTCAGACATCTGGCAGAGCAGCCACTGTGCTCAAAGACGTGTTCCAGAATACCTATGAGGTGGCACGGGACTGTCTCGACACCAATTACTACGGATGCAAACGGGTTACAGAAGCCCTTCTTCCTCTACTGAAACTATCCAAGTCGGGAGCGAAGATCGTTAACGCCTCCTCCCTTGCGTCAGAGCTGAAGGTACGCTATCAGTTGAAATTCTTTCTCCAAAACCTCTGAGAACCAAGAAAGAGATGCATTCTGCCCGATCCATAGTCAGTCTTATGTGTTCAACTTTGGTGCCTGCCAGAGAATGCCGAACGAGGAGCTACGGAAGGACCTGAGCAACATCGACATCTGGGACGAGGCGCGGATCGAGGCGGTGCTCAACACCTTCATGGATGACCTGAAGAATGGACGGCTCGAAGAGGCAGGGTGGCCGGCGATGCTGCCGGCATACAGCGTGTCGAAGATGGTGATCAACCTCTACACGAGGATCCTGGCGAGGCGGTACCCAGAGATGCGCGTCAACTGCGTGCGCCCCGGCTTTGTCAGGACCGACATCAACTGGAACCTGGGGACCCTGACGCCGGAGCAGGGCGCGAGGGGCCCGGTCATGCTGGCCCTGCTCCCTCAGGACGGACCGACCGGGTGCTACTTCGATCAGACGGAGATGGTGAATGTCTGGTAGTGTCTGTTCACTGGATTGTCTGCAGCTACGTTATGGTAAGTTCATCTTTCTGTGTCATGCCTGAGGCCATTGGCCAGGACAGTTTTCTCTTCTTGCATTTTCGATATGAATAAATAGTTCAAGACCAGCTATGGTCCTGCGTAGTAGTCAGATACCACTCCTCAAAAAGGAAGGGCTGATTGGATCTGAAACAATTCACAGTAACACAGTCCATTACTTCCTCCGTTCCTAAATATAACCCCTTTTAGAGATTCCAACATGGACCACATACGGAGCCAAATGAGTGAATCTGCACTCTAAAATACGCCTATATACATCCGTATGTTGTCCGTATTGAAATATCTAAAAGGGCTTATATTTAGAAACGGAGGGAGTAGAAGGTAACCAGTTTGAATCCCAAAACAGAAACAGAGTGTTTTCTTTTATTATGATATCACTACTACGTTGCTGAGCCAGACACAGCAGGACTGCACAAATATTTTGTGTTAAGATAGCAAGTAGTAGAAGCTGCACATCCAAACCACTTTGCCACTAATAGCGCAGTAAACGTGAGAGTACAATGCCACTCAATCACTAGTCACTACTAGTTAATTAAACAGATCAAATGTTTAGCACTGTCACACCAAGAAAATGCGCTGAGAATACAATTTCAATTGGTGACCAGTTAGACCTCACCTGATCTCATTTCTATCACCACATTTATACCTGCATAGTAGTTAGGTACCGCTACTCAAAAACAGAGGAGCTGATTGAATCTTGAACAATTCGCAGTAACACAGTGTATTAGAAGGTAACCAGTTTGAATCCCAAAACACAAACGGTTTGTGTTCCTTTATTATGATGGGTTGAATGAAGGGCACAGCAGGACTGCACATTTGTGTTAAGATAGCAAGTAGTAGAAACTGAACATCTAAACCGCTTTACAACAAGTAGCCCAGTAAAACTGAGAGAACGATGCCACTCAATCACTAGTTAAACAGATTTAATCTTTAGCACTACTAACTAATTACGCTACACTAGTGTCAAAAAACGTCTTACATTATGGGACGGAGGGAGTAATTATCACACCCGGAAGAGGCGCCCAGAATAGAAGTTCCAATTGGTGATCAAGTTCGACCTCACCTGATCTCATTTCTATGACTACATTTATGACACGATATGACAATATCAATAGTATCTATATGATGTTAAATTTGAGTCATTCACTTCCCTCATATATTGCCAGATATGGTTCATGCAGGATATAGAAAAACAATCGCAGTGCATTGATCATTGCGTATCAGCAAGTATGTATCTGGCCTCCCCGGTCGTACAACATTTAGTTGGCACAAAATAAATCTCTTGTATTGTATGCTGCTGCATGCATGCGCTAGATCTCCAAGTGATTTATCTTGTGCACCATAAAGGTTGCAGCACATTGATCACTCGCGCGTGCTGTATAAATGAAGAACAGCGGGTGATGGCCGGATAGACACTCAATCGCCATCGCCATCGCCTTCCTCAGTTGTGTAGGTTTGCCTAGCTTCAGCCATGGCGTCCTTGACCAATCTCATCATACTACTACCACTTCTCTTCCTCGCCACCCTCTCTCCTACACCCTCACTGTGCTATATCAGTCCAGCTGCTGCAAGGGTACAGCAGGGTTCTACAGGAACCTCTGCTTACCGCACTTACATCGTACTCGTCGACCCACCTCCCTCAAGTGCCGGCGAAGTCGGGCATCGTCGGTGGTATGAGACTTTCTTGCCGAGCTCTCACATCGGCGAATCTGGCGAGCCACGTCTCCTCCACACCTACACCGAGGTGTTCAGCGGCTTCACGGTGAGGCTCACTGATGCCGAGCTCGACGCGATGGCCAAGAAACCAGACCGGATGCTGCAGCTCATGACCACGCACACGCCAGAGTTCCTCGGGCTGAGGAGTGGCACCGGGTTTTGGAGCGACACACGCTACGGGAAGGGAGTGATTGTCGGGATGCTTGACAGCGGAATCTATGCAGCACACCCTTCGTTCGACGATCATGACAAAGTGGAAAGGCTCGTGCAGGGAGGTCAGGTGCAACAACAAGCTCATCGGTGCCAAATCATTCATTGCCGGTGATGACCGCCCATTTGATTTTGCGGGGCACGGAACACACACCTCATCCACTGCCGCTGGGAACTTTGTTACCAATGCGTCATACCATGGCGTAGGCATGCGCACTGCTTCCGGAATTGCTCCAGGTGCCCACATCGCCATGTACAAAGTGTGCACTGGGATTGGCTGTGAAGAATCTGCCATAGTGGCTGGCCTGGACGCGGCCATCAAGGATGGGGTGGACGTGCTCTCGCTTTCCCTCGGCAGTCCCACCAGTGTGAGCTTCGACAAGGATCCCATCGCCATCGGCGCGTTCAGCGCGATATCTAAGGGTATCATTGTGGTGTGCGCGGCTAGCAACCATGGTCCCAATCCACGGTCGGTCATCAACGACGCACCGTGGTTGCTCACGGTCGCTGCTGGCTCGGTGGATCGGAGATTCGATGCTGGTGTTCATCTCGGCAATGGGTTGCGCTTAAATGGAGAAGCGCTTACCCAGGTGAAAATGCCAACCTCAAAGTCGTATCCTCTCCTCTACTCCGAGGAAAATCGTTTCTGCGAGAACGAGGATCGCATTTCCATCACCGGGAAAATCGTGGTATGCCAAGCCATGACACCCCGATGCCTCAGTACTCAACCATTCGCAGCATAATGGATGCTGGAGCGGCCGGTGTGGTACTGTTCAATGATGAAGCCGATGGCTACTCCATTCTTCTTCAGGATTACTACTCGAGAGTGGTGCAGGTGGCCGCAGCTGACGGCATTGCTATCACAGGTTATGCGAAGTCGGCAGCGAGCAAAGCCGTGGCCACTTTCACATACAACAACACAGTGCTTGGTGTTCGTCCAAACCCGACCGTGGCGTCGTTCTCTTCACGGGGTCCAAGCCCTATCTCCCTGGGCGTGCTCAAGCCAGACATTCTGTCTCCCGGGCTCAACATCCTCGCCGCATGGCTGCAAGAAACAAAATCTGCATCGAGGCCTTTCAACATCATATCAGGTACATCCATGGCAACACCACATGTCAGCGGTGTTGCGGCGCTCATCAAAAGCTTGCATCCCGACTGGTCACCGGCTGCCATCAAGTCGGCCATCCTGACAACGTCGGACACCTTCAACAACATCGGTGGCCCGATATTGAATGAGAGGCATGGTAAAGCCAGTGCGTACGATAGAGGCGCCGGCCATGTGAACCCGGCGAGAGCTGCCGATCCTGGTGTGGTGTATGATCTCGGCGTAACTGATTACATGGGCTACATCTGCTGGCTCCTTGGCAACAAAGGCTTGGTGACGATCGTGCACAACCCGAGCTTGACCTGCGAGAAGCTGCCCAAGGTCAAGGACGTCCAGCTCAACTATCCAAGTATAACTGTGCCATTCACATCAATGCCATTCATCGTGAACCGAACAGTGACGAACGTTGGGCCAGCAACATCGATATACAGGGCGAAGGTGGACGCACCCAAGTCGATGACGGTGCGTGTTTCTCCGGATACACTGGTGTTCTCCAAGGCCCGGGAGAAGAAGACATTTAGCGTGTCGGTGAGCAGCCACCACGTGGATGAACAAGAATCCATGGAGGGAAGCCTGAGCTGGGTTTCCGAGAAACACGTGGTGAGGAGCCCGATCGTCGTCTCCCTTCGAGTCGGTGGTCCTACTCCCCTGCGATCACCATGAATGACTTTTGTGATGTTAGATTAGTGGATGTTTTCATCTGGCCCTGTTTAATCAGTTCAAATGCATCGTCTCTAAGGAGAATGCTTGCTTGAGAAATAAAGGAGTTGCTGCGATAAGAAAATAGAAGCAGAGCCCAGTTATTGATATCTTGTGAAGCATTTTGGTCTTGTGAAGCATTTGGAGATAAAGAAACAGATCAAGACCGATGCGGGTCAGTGGGCGTTTCCCTCTTTAGTTTTGTTTTATGCTGCCGTTGGGTTCATTCGCTGGGTAGTACTCCCTCCGGTCCTTTTTACTCTGCATATTAGGTTTGTCTGAAGTCAATCTCATCCAACTTTGACCAAGTTTATATAAAAAATTATTGACATGTACATAACAACACCAATATCATTAGATTCATCTCGGAATATATTTTCATACTATATTTATTAGATATTATAGATGTTAACAATTTTTAATATAAATTTGGTCAAACTTAGCTAAGTTTGACTTTCGGCAAATCCAATGTGCAGAGTAAAAAGGACCGGAGGGAGTAGTAGGTATTCAGTGTTTCTGCCTGGTTTAGAGAAATCTGATTCGCTAAGCACCAGCAGATTGGTCCACTGGAACGCCAAGTCCAGCCGTTCCTTCCATGCACACCCATTCTGTCATTTTCTTCCATTTCTTCATGCAGCTCCTACTAATATTTGTTCAAGAGTTTTTTGATAGAACTCGATCAGGTTTTGAGCGTAAAAGAAAATGACCCATTCAACCTCACCTAATTTCATGACTTCGATATTGCCATTTACTCCAATATTTTTTCTTCAGGAATCTGTTGATAGTACTCATTTTATGAGATGATAACACATCATAGGTGGGGATACAAAACCAGAAGCTGTTAATTTTGAAAAATTAGTTATCCTCCCAATTTACAGATATTTAATATATGTGTTAAAGACCATCCAGAAAATCGAAAAATACCATGTATCTTTTTCCCTACACCCCGCACCATAAACCCGGGTAGATACATTACCCACACTCATTCCTGCCATCCCACATAATCTTATCATATCTTCCAGATTTAACAGAAGTTAAACTCATTAATGTGTTACCATATGCTCTGGACTTGTCAACTGATTAATATATGCCAAAAGTAACACACAACACATTAATTGTTCGTGTTGTATAAAGATTGCCCGGTGATTGATCCTATTCTGGCATTGCCATCATCTTCATCGTGTAGTTGTGTGGTTTGAGCCTCGAGGAATGGCGTCGTTCACAAATCTCTCAATACCACTTCTCTTGCTCGCCATCCTCTTTCCTACTCTCGCACTATGCTATATCAATCCAGCTGCCACAAGCGTACACCAAAATGCCACAAAACCCTCTGCTTATCATGCTTACATCGTGCTCGTCGAGCCACCACGCTCGAATGCCGGCGAAGACGCCCATCGCCTGTGGCACAAGTCTTTCTTGCCGAGTTCGTTGACGGATGAGTCCAACGAGTCGCGCCTTCTCCATTCCTACACCGAGGTGTTCAGTGGCTTCGCCGTGAGGCTCACCGACGCCGAGCTCGATACGGTGGCCAAGAAGCCAGGGTTTGTGCGTGCATTCCCCGACCGGACCCTGCAGCTAATGACCACCCACACGCCAGAGTTCCTTGGACTAAGGAACGACACCGGGTTCTGGAGCCAGGCTGGCTACGGGAAGGGAGTCATCATTGGACTGCTCGACACCGGCATCTATGCGACACACCCTTCTTTCAATGGCCATGGAGTTCCACCACCCCCAGCAAGGTGGAAGGGCTCATGCAAGGCGGCCCGGTGCAACAACAAGCTCATTGGTGCCAAGTCATTCATCGAGGGTGTTGACTCTGGTGACGAAGAGGGACACGGAACACACACCTCGTCCACGGCAGCCGGGAACTTCATCACCGGCGCGTCATACCATGGTGTGGGTGTGGGAAAGGGCACTGCAGCCGGAATTGCTCCTAGCGCACACATCGCCATGTACAAGGTATGCGACAGTAGAGGCTGCGAGGAATCCGCCGTACTGGCCGGCCTAGAAGAGGCCATCAAGGATGGGGTGGACGTGCTCTCGTTCTCCGTTGGTGGCACCATGAGTCCCATCTATGATCAAGACCCCATCGCTATCGGCGCGTTTAGTGCTATGTCCAAGGGCATCCTCATGGTGTGTGCCGCAGGTAACGATGGTCCGGATCTGTTCTCGGTCACCAACGTCGCCCCGTGGTTGCTCACAGTCGCCGCCGGCTCCGTAGACCGGAGCTTCGGTGCCAGTGTGAATCTTGGCAATGGCAAGATCATCGATGGAGAAGCGCTTACCCAGAAAGCGAGTCCGAGCTCAAAGTCGCACCCTCTCGTCTACTCCGAGGAACGGCGGTACTGCAATTACAGTGATGACAGTGGCATCGCCGGTAAGATCCTGGTCTGCGAGAACACGAAGTCGGAGACTCAAAAGTCCAACGTCCGCAGAATAGTGGGTGCTGGTGCGTCCGGTGTGGTGTTGTTCAACGACAAAATCAGTGGCTACACCACCATTGTTCAGGATTACAACTCCAGTGTTGTACAGGTGACCGCGTCCGACGGTGGCATCCTCATAGCTTACGCCGCATCGTCGACGAGCAGCTCTGTGGCCTCTCTCACGTACAACAACACATTGTTTGGTGTCCGCCCGGCCCCTGTCGTGCCCTTTTTCTCTTCGCGGGGTCCAAGTTTCACCAACCTCAACATCCTAAAGCCGGACATATTGGCACTGGGGCTCAACATCCTCGCTGCATGGCCGCCAAGCACGGCCTCCGGACAGGGCCCTTTCAACATCATATCAGGCACATCCATGGCGACGCCCCACGTGAGTGGTGTTGCGGCGCTTATTAAAAGCATCCATCCCGACTGGTCGCCAGCCGCCATCAAGTCTGCTATCCTAACGACGTCGGACATCGTTAATAGCACTGGCGGCTCAATCTTGGACGAGCAGCATCGAAAGGCCGGGGTGTTCGACCATCGTGCGCAACTCAAGCTTGACCTGCGGGAAGCTGCCCAAGGTCCAGCACGCGCAGCTCAACTACCCGACGATAACCGTGTTGGTTTCATCGACTCCGTTCACAGTGAACCGAACTGTGACGAACGTTGGGCCAGCGGATTCGACATTCAAGGCCAAGGTGGACGTGCCGAAGCCTCTGACGGTGCGTGTCTCCCCGGAGACGCTGTCATTCTCCAAAGCCGGAGAGAAGAAGACCTTCAGCATGTCTGTGAGCGGCGACCTGGGCAAGGAAGTACTGTATGTGGAGGGAAGCTTGAGCTGGGTATCGGAGAGGCATGTCGTGCGGAGCCCCATCGTCGCTCTTCCGGCCTCATCACCATGAATGATGTACGTGCCGCAAGATCACTAGATGTTTTATTTCTTCATGTTTAAGTCATCTTTCAGTATTTCTTTTGCGTCAACATAATAATAAATAAACAGTACCAATGGAACAAAAACTTGCATTATGATTTACTTACTGGTGCAAAGTTTTAAGTTATGCGATTCGAACCAGAGATGAGCGGTTGATACTTGGTCCTGCTGCTTAATGCCGCGGCATCTCTGCCTGTCTGAATTCTGAAACTCCATTACCTTTTTGTTCAGAGCAAGAAAACAAAGGTGGACGGAAACTTCTGAAACTCTGAAGTTGTATCCGTCCCTGTAAACTTCTGTTGGATATAGGAAACAGAGTAAATAAATGATATGGCCGTGTCCATCACAGGCAATCTGCAATTGAAATTATTTTCTCTTTGATGCAGATCTCCCTCTAAATGCTCAACAAAATAAATGTGAAAATTGTTGGTGTTAATCTCTTCAGTAGGGTTTTATGGATGTGCAAGTTTGTAGGTTTCCTGGAGACATGCGTGAGTTTAAGTCTAGTTTGTGTTTGCCTTCACATATGAATACTTCAGTATGAGCGTATATATGCTAGATCCAAAATTCTGATCACTGGATATGCTAAAAAAAAGTTACAATGCACATCGCAAGTTTTTGAGTAATGCTAGTGCTATCAAACATTGTTGTTGCCACTTTCCATCAAGCACCAACATCCAGGCCGTAGTAGTACAATGCATTCTTGTTTTACAGCGGAAGGACTAACTGAATCTCATTCCAAAAACTGTTTCCCTGAGACGTTCAATCTCTCCGTTAGTTTGTGAGATCTTGAACATTGTTTTGGTTTTTTAACTGCAGGATATCATGCACTGCATTCTGTTACCGAGCTTCCATTGGCTCCTGTCTCATGGACATGTTTTCTTTGGCTGTTGTGGCACATACCTAATTCTTGATCTTTGATGCGAAGTCAGAAATATTATGGGAGTAGAATCTTTAGAATTTTGATTTGTACTTGGGAAGTTCTCCTATGATTCGTGCTTGGGAAGTTTTCCTTTGTTTTAATGTTAATTATGGCATAATATTTTCTATGCCACAGCAAACTATTCGTATTGCTTATTCATGTTGTCCCCATATATGTAGAAAATGGCATGTCATGACATCCAATTCCTGTGTTTTAAATTTTAATAGATTCCAATGGCCCTAGCATTTCATAATCCGCCTTTTTCCTATTCCCGTGTTTTTGAAATATGCAAATTAAAAGGCTACTTAAAATTTGGGTTCTCCCATTTCTTGCCCAAAAGCATGACTCTAAGCTGTATGATAGAGTGGAGAATCGAACTTGAAACCCAAAGAGATGCTCTGCTGCAGAAACAACGCCCACCCAGAAAGGAACTTGCAACCTAGAGAGACTAACTGAAGAGTTGGTTTTGATTAGCTGATGTTTTCTTCTTCTCACATCTCACTCAGCATTTCCTCCCAAGTATAGGTTCCTAACGCCCTATGAACATGGCGGTGCAGGTGGAGGGGGAGGCCGGAGATGATCCGCGTCACCTGCTCCAGATTCTGCAACATCAAACACGACCATGAAACAGTAACGAGAAAGAAACTTTGCTCTGATGAAGAGACTTGATCGTCAGCGATCAGTGTCT